ATATCAAGTGTTAGTGGTGTATAGAAAGTATTAAAAAATTAAAAGGGTGTGAGAGAAGTAATTTGGGATGTGTGAATATAATCTCTCTCAAAGAACTAGGGAAAATACACATGCCCAAATTGCATTTAATCACTAAGCATAATTAACACATGTTTAATCTGAATTACAATGATAAGGGTAAATCTTAAAGATTTAATGTGGAGCCTAAAATAATTCCAAAAATTCTAGAGGCGACACATGAACTTTTGCCTGAGAAATACAAGATTGCCCTCAATAAATGGGCGGCTCCTCAGATACTTCTACGCGTAGCTCACACCCTGAAGGTCCCAGTAGCTGAATACGACTGCCCATGACTCATCTGCCCTTGGCAAGGAAAAGTCAAAGCATTAAAGATAAGAATTAATTATCCAAATCATATTTTTAATACATTCCCAATTGAAGATTGACTCCATTCAAGTAAGTAATCCCAATTTAAATTAATTAGGGATAATTACTCTATTATCTCAAGATATTATTTCTTATTTAATATCTTGAGAATATTTCTCCATAAACTTTGGCCAATAGGATGCTGCCACGTGTAGGGTAAAACCCTAACACTATGGCAGGCCTTTTCTGTAACATCCCACATCGCCCAAGGGAATGATCCTTATATGTATATTCCCATCTCTATCTAGCACGAGGCATTTTGAGAGCTCACTGGCTTCGGGTTTCGTAGGAACTCCGAAGTTAAGCGAGAAGGGGGCTAAAACAATCCCATGATGGGTGACCCACTGGGAAGTTGCTCGTGAGTTCCCAAAAACAAAACCGTGAGGGAATGGTAAGCCTAAAGCGGACAATATCGTGCTACGGTGGTGGAGCGGACCCGGGAAGTGATCTGCCCCGGGCTAGGATATGACAATTGGTATCAGAGCCTAACCCTGGCCGCCTGTGTGCCGACGAGGACGTCGGGCCCCTAAGGAGGGTGGATTGTAACATCCCACATCGCCCAGGGCAGTAATCCTTATATGTATATTCTCATCCCTATCTAGCACAAGGCCTTTTGGGAGCTCACTGGCTTCGGGTTCCGTAGGAACTCCGAAGTTAAGCGAGAAGGGGGCTAAAGCAATCCCATGATGGGTGACCCACTAGGAAGTTGCTCGTGAGTTCCCAAAAACAAAACCGTGAGGGAATGGTAAGCCCAAAGCGGACAATATTGTGCTACGGTGGTGGAGCAGACCCGGGAAGTGATCTGCCTCGGGCTGGGATATGACAATTTGGGTATATATAGGAGGAAAGTGTAACATCCCACATCGCCCAGGGGAGTGATCCTTATATGTATATTCTCATCCCTATCTAGCACGAGGCCTTTTGGGAGCTCACTGGCTTCGGGTTCCGGAGGAACTCCGAAGTTAAGCGAGAAGGGGGCTAGAGCAATCTCATGATGGGCGACCCACTGGGAAGTTGCTCGTGAGTTCCAAAAAGCCTCGTGCTAGATAGGGATGAGAATATACATATAAGGATCACTCCCCTGGACGATGTGGGATGTTATACTTTCCTCCTATATATACCCCATATTCTACCAAATTACAAAGTTTCTTACTACCCTAAAAAGCCCTAAATACTTTACTCTCATAAGAGAAACTAACTTAGGCATCGAAGATTCATTGGCCTAACCCCCTCCCCCCCACACCTCGTGTGCGCGTGAGGCTTAGGTCTTTGATCAAAGGTGTTGATTGTTTTGCAGGTGCATTTTCGTCAAGACTAAAGACGGCGGAATTTGCATCGACATTTAACACATCATCGTGTGTTATACAATTGATTAATATCATTGATGATATGAGTCAATCACACAATAATTCTCTTACACATGTAGTCTATAGTCATGTACCTAGATGTAAATAATTATCTATTACAGCAAGTAAATCTTATTACACACATAAACAACTCCTACCAAAAAAAAAAAAAAAAAAAAAAAAAACTCATAACTAGTTTTTTTTTTTCTTTCTTTTTTTAGTACATCAATATTTTTACACTGAGAGGATGGGGAGTTCAGCAAGTCATACAATGGGCAGCCTAATTTGGTATCAAATTTGTCATCCACGAGATTTAAACCTAAAACTCTCACTTCCAAGTAAAGAACAATACTACTAAACCGTAGTACTGAATGACAACTCATAACTAGTTACAGTCGAACATTTATTTATGCAAATCTCGCAACGAGTCTTGCACAAATCAACAACTGAAAGTCGTCCACCTTGGAAGCAAACCTCAAAACATGGTACGCGAGCACACAAACCAAAGTAGTTTTGCACAAGTGCATTTCCTAGCAGTTTGGTTGGTGGTGGTCGATCGTGAAAGGAAAAGCATAATGTTTGGAGTTGAAAAAAGGAAAAGCATTTCCTAGCAATATGGGGGCCGGCTACCATTATGCTTTTCTTGATCAAGTTGGACAATGTGTTATTAAGCATTTTCATCATGAAGACATTAAAACATGTATATTTTAATAGGTTAGCTACTTCAGGTGGGTATAAAAGGATCTAATTTATTGACCAAATCAATCTCCTTCGAGGAGAAGGAAAAATAAAAATACAACAATAAAATTTGACCAAAAATAAAATACAACAATAAAAATAAAATTTGATTAGGGTTTAGAGGTCCCCGGAGCGTCTTGCTTTGTTTATCTGAACGTCCAATTTTAGGGTTTTCGTATATGCGTGTACGGTGAAAGATTCATTTGGGGCCTCAAATCAGATGGCCACGTGTTCAGAGTAGGTGCCTCTTATTCAATCCTGTCAACCTTGTCAGGCTGGCTTGGTTCCACCCAGTCTCTCTCATGGGAGCTGTAGCAACCAAGATTTTCCACGCCATTGTCTAATGTCTGCTGCTTGAAATTGAAAGAACAAGGAAAAACCATTCAGTTTAGAGAGATCCGACGTTAATTGCATAAATTAGAATTGACATTAACAATTAACAACTAATCATAATTGAGTAAAGATTTGACATATATAATAATTAACAACTAATCATAACCGAGTATAGAATGTAGCATTCTTACTTTTATTCGTTAATTAAACAACAACGCTTTTAGGATTGTGGATCGTCGAATCACTAAAGATTGATCAAGTCAAGAAATTTTTTAGAAAACTATACACCACCACATTGTATTATTAGCAGCCATGTTATGAATGTGAAACCGCTATATTATTAGCATAGTCATTCTATGAATGTGAAACCCTTTGCTACTCATCATATTTTAAAATTTGAATTAATTACATCGTGTGATACTATAACCCGAAAATTTTCTCGGCAAAGTGAGTTGTGCAGTCAAGTTTCTTTTACTCTTCTGCTTAAAATAAAAGCGTACCTTACCTGAATTGTAATGGCAATGTCAACATGGAGTCAAAGTGACCTTAACTTCATGCATGTTAATTAGGGAACTCAATTAATTTTAAAAGAAAGGAACTCAATTATTTTCATGTTACCCCCACAACATTGATTAACTTATAGTACAAACTTGATTAGACTTGCTAACTAATAATTATACTTTGGGTAAAATAACAAGTCAAATTTTGATTGAGCTCACAAACAGCGCTTTATCACAATGATGGAAAGCAATTATGTTTATACATTCTAATACGAGTTAGATATCCACTCATTTCCCTTCCCGCTAACAACTAACTATTTAACTTACTAATCAAATAAACTCCATCGAGTTGACTGACAACCGGCCTATAAAGCATAAGCATACATTGGGAGAGAGTCTCAAGTCTATAGCCTAATATGCACATACAATTTTGATCTGCTAGCCAACTCTTTAATGTCCTCAACTTGATATTTGCGCATGTTGTAATCAAAGACTAGTTGGTTTTCGTAAATTCCTTTTTTTTTTTTTTTTTTAGAGTTATTTATTGAGAAATTAAAGGAGGAAGAAATCATGATTTACCTTTATCGTCGTGAACCATTTAATCATATGCTCAATTGGCCTGACCTTCGGGTGTGTTTAAGGATTGCTTTTGTCCAAAGAGAGCTTTATTCAAGTACCGGATATTTAAGTGGTAGTCTATATATCATAATTCAAGTGGAAGAAATGATATATTTTTTCGTATTTCTCCATTTGTTTTATAACACGTATAGTACCCATTTTAATATTGGACACTTAGAAAAATTTTCTTCTCTTGTTAAATTTTGTGCATGCGATAAAAACACACCTAAACAAACCATTACTAGCTATGATCATTTCTTATAATCAATCTCTTATCTACTTTTATGTTCTAACTTCCATCAATGTGTACATAATATGATTTCAAGGATATGACGGATCTTGCACACCGCCTAACCAAATTTGATCTTTCTACAAGTCACCATTTAATTTGGTTTGAGAATCCTCGTAATATTATACATTATGTACTCCTTGAAGACTCTATATTTGAATTTCTTTTAATCAATGATAATGCTACTATTTCCTAACAGATAAACTCTAAAATTTTAATCCCTAAACTAAATGTTTCAGCCTTGAACCTATAAAGCACCAAAAACACAAGGTGAAGGATTATTTGAATTTCAGAAGGATACAACTGGAAAGGCCAAGGTGCAAATACCTTAGTATGTAGGGCAAAGGCTGCGTTTATTTGACACTTGGGACCTTCCCCAAATATCTTTAACCATTGCATACGGGGGAATACTTCAGTAATTGGTTTCTATCAAAGGGACCCTTTAATTAGTAATCTGTAGAAGCCAATCATATAAACCATGAAAAAAAAAAAAAAAAAAATCAATCAAAGAACAAATAATTAGAAATTCTCACCAATTCCTATCCCTTTGGAAATGCCATCCACACCGCGTGAAACAAACTCTCCCACTTTATTTTGCATTTCTTGACCTTTCTCTTAAGATTGTAACACTCACTCGCCATAGAAGAGAATGATATAAATCTGTACCACTTTATAATTATCAACTTAATCTCTGTTATTAAATATTAATTTCCAACCCCTTTATATACCTCCTTCCCCTTCCCCTTCCCCTCATGGGCTCGAACCAACAAAAACAAATCTTCTAAATTTCAATCATCTCTCTCTCTCTCTCTCTCTCTCTCTCTCTCTCACAGCCAAAAAAACCTCTCTCTCTAGACAAAAAAAACCCTATCTTTCTCTATCATCCAATTATACAAATGGAAGTAGAGCCAAGCCCACCAGTTGTGGCAAAGAAATTGTGGAACTTAGTACGCATAATGTTCTTCATGTTGCGCAAAGGCTTATCCAAGAGCAAGCTTATTGTCGACCTCCATTTGATGCTCAAACGTGGCAAGGTAGCAGGCAAGGAATTAGCCAACAACCTCATGCTCCACCACACCTCCGCCTTCAGCTGCCGCTCAAACGACGCTGTCTCCTTCGTCACTCCCCGAGAGTACGAGTTCAGCTGCAGCAACAGCCCCGCCATTCACAACCCTTTTCATTTCAACAAGCGCAACAAACACCACCACCACTATTTTCCCAAATCAACCAGTGCGTACCAATACGACGACGTTAGCACTATGAGTGCAGTTCAGAAGGTGCTTGAGATGTTGAACAATGAGATGGCGGTGGAGGCCTCGCCGCTTGTGACATTGCCAGGGTTTGGGAAGAGCCCTATGGTGAGGCAGCTGAGGATAACGGACTCCCCGTTTCCGTTAAAGGACGAAGGTGATAGCCAGGTGGACAAGGAAGCTGAGGAGTTTATTAAGAGATTTTACAAGGATCTCAAGTTGCAGAAACGATCGGCTGCCCTCGAATCTCCGTCATACCGTGCCATGCGCGGTCGATGAGAGAATGGGCACAAAATTTAATTTCAACTCGGTTAATTAATTCCCTTGAGTACTGCATGGTTAATTTGTTTTTGAGCTATCAGCTTTGTCATTTGCACATAAAGGGTAATATTTCCACACACACACACACACAGAATTTTTGTATGTGCCAGTTATTATGTAACATCGCTCAATTTATATATGTATAACTGAAGTCTGAATGCATACTGTGAGGAAGAAGTTTTATATATCACGGGCGCATATTATTATATATGTTTCACACACGCTAAGTATTAAGTTTTTTTTTTTTTTTTTTTTAATTTTTATAAAGGTTTTTTTAGTTAAAATAGTCCCTGAGATTTGCATAACATATCACTTTGGTCCCTGAGATTGAAAATCAATAGAAATGATCCCTGAGATTGTCCACCATCTATTATTTTGGTCATTCCAGTTAAAAATATAGGAAATTTTCAAAAGCAACCAGTACATATCCACGTAAAGCAAACTAACACCCAATTTCCCAATAATTATATGTTTTTCATAAAAAGCTTTTTATCCAAAATGGTCCCTGAGATTTACATAACACATCACTTTGGTCCCTGAGATTGAAAATCAATAGAAATGGTCCCTGAGATTGTCCACCATCCATTATTTTGGTCATTCCGTTAAATGTCCCGGAGCTTTTGGCCAGAAGTTTGGCCAATTTTCAAAACTTCGTAACTCAATCGTTTCTTAACCAAATTCGACCCATAATATATCAAAATAAAGATAGGAAAGTGTAGAACAAAATTATAGCATTTGGAATCCCATTGGTTGCCGAAATGGCCAGAAATAGCCTGAAAGGTGACTGGTCAGCGGGAAAACTGGAAAACTCGCCGTAAACTAGGTAAACTTTAAACGTTCATAACTTCTTCAATACTCAACAAAATTGAGTGATTTAAAAACGAAAATCATACTTCTCGATGAGACAAAGAGAATGGTACCTTTCTCGATGGCTAGCTCGCCATGGTTTGGCCGTAAAATTACTTGAAAGTGGCTAACTAGACGACCAAGACAACCACTTTCGAGCCATTTTTCAGTCAAACCACGACGAGTTAGCCTTCGAGAAAGATACTATTCTCTTTTCCTCATCGAGAAGTATGATTTTTGTTTTTGAATCACTCGATTTTTTTGAGTATTGAAGAAGTTATGAACGTTTAAATTTTACCCAAGTTTCAGCCGAGTTTTCCAATTTTCCCTCTGGCCAGTCACCTTTCAGGCTATTTTCCGGCCATCTTCGGCAACCATTGGCTTCCAAATAGGTATAATCTTGTTCTACACTTTCCTATCTTCATTTTGATATATTATGGGTCGAATTTGGTTAAGAAACGATTTGAATTATGAAGCTTTGAAAATTGACCAAACTTCTGGCCAAGAGCTCCGGGACACTTAACGAAGTTTTTAACAGAATGACCAAAATAATGGATGGTGGACAATCTCAGGGACCATTTCTATTGATTTTCAATCTCAGGGACCAAAGTGATGTGTTGTGTAAATCTCAGGGACCATTTTGGATAAAAAGCTTTTTATGAAAAACATATAATTATTGGGAAATTGGGTGTTAGTTTGCTTTACGTGGATATGTACTGGTTGCTTTTGGACTTTTAGATTTAGATGAAACCAAGGCTGTCCCTTTGGAGAGCAATAATTTTGATTCTTGTATTTTCCTTCCCCATGTATCTTTTTTCCCTTTTTGTTGTCAACGTGTTTGCTTGTAATAAAAGAGAAAAAAAGCAAAAGGGTGCATATACACATGTATAGGTGATGCCAGAGAAATTATCTTTTTAATCATATTTTGTAAATCATATGACATGAAAGTTAATGATTGAATTTATTCTTTAAATCATTAAAAATGAAATTCAATTATCAATCACCATATCATATTATTTACAAAATATGATCTAAAAGGACGGTCTCCCTAACATTTTTCATATGCATATGTGTGTGTGTGTGAATCTCTCTCTTTTTGCAAAGCTATGGCCTTGTACCTACTGTGACCAGTTGCATGGTAAAGAAGCTTTAAAAAGAGCGTTACGTTTGTCATGGTCTCTCGTGTGTGTGGGGTTTTTCAGGTTGGTGAGTAGGAGCTTTGGATTTATTAGGGTTTAGGGTTTTTGTCTGTCTAGTCCTCTGCTTGTGATGGTGACACTAGTGGTTGATCTGGTCCAAAATTTGGTTACGTTGTTAGAAGGTCACTGCCAATTTTCCATGAACTGAAAAATAAAGATAGCCACAAATTTTCAGATCTAGCTACACTACCATTTCGATCAGTTTGTCCAGATTTTTGGTTATATACTTTTGTATATTTTAGCTTCTTGTTCTTTTCGTTTTTAGGTTAGTGAATGATTCAAGGGAGAGCTATATTGGTTAATAAAATTATGGCTGGGGTTTTAATTAGAAATATTGAAGCTGACAGCAACGTCTTTGTCGTTAATTACCCTCGGCTAATACTATGAGCTCTTGTGATAGATTTTCAGTCCACAAGTTGGGGCAGGTTAGTGGTAATTATGACATATGGGGCAATCAGTAGATCGACATCTTCCTTCATTTAAAGGAAACAGATACAATAATTTTGAGAGAGAAGAACATTATTAAAGAGGCAAAGCTAATGTGATGGGACTATGGGAAGGAACGTTGTAATCATCGACTTTATTGTGTGTTGTATAAATAATCAAAGCTGTAAACATTATATATTGCGTACATATGATATGAAAGATGGGGCTTATGGTTCAAAATAAGCTCAAATTGTAACAAATGAAATGCATGAAACTAAGTTGGTAAGACCATCTCCAACCGAAAGGGCTAAATATAGTCCCGTTCAAAATTAAATTTCTGCAAAAAATTATTTTTAAATGAATAATGTCAGATCATACTCATATACCATCTCCAACCGAAGGGGCTAAATATAGCTCCCTCAATAATTTATTAATTTTAAGTTTATACTTTAAATATATTGGTTATTTTAGTTAAACTACATTTGGATGTTTTCAAATATAGTCGTTGAATTTGAATCAATCATTGCAACTGAGGAGCTGGGCTAAAACAAAGGCTATAAGAGGGGCAACATTTGGCTAGCCTAGTGCCCCTTCGGTCAAATGATGGCATGGTGGGCTCCACAGAATTATAGCCCAACTACCAGTTGGAGATGAATCTTTCGACAAATCAGGTCATTTTTTTGCTTTTGGACCTTTAGCCCTCTCCATTGGCAATATATGAATATATGAAGTAACCACTACTTATAAGCACATGTAAGATCTTTTTTTTTCTTCGATGTGGATTCATAATCTCAATATTGTGAGGATGTAAAGATAAAAGAGTCTCACATTGGTAAAGGAGAAACCTTGTAAGGGCTTATAAAATGTTGGGCTAGCTACTCCTCATATTACTAATTGGTTTTATGGTAAAACCTCAACTTTCTTCATAGTATCAGAGCAAGCTGACTCATATGTGAAGCCCAACGACCATATATACATGCTCCACATCACCCAATTCATGTTGTTCATGTATTTGACTTGAAAATTCGCCACACGTGAGGGAGAATGTGAGGATGTAAAGGTAAAAGAGTTTCACATTGGTAAAAGTATAAACCTTGTAATAGCTAATAAGAGGTTGGGCTACTCCCATGTTACTAGCTAATTAGTTTTATGGTGGACTCTCAAATTTTTTTTGAGGTTTCTCATATCACTGATGTGAGACTCTTTTACATTCACATCCTCACAAACACGTGCCTTCACTTGTGACAAATTTTTGAACCTAACACATGGGCAACAAGAACGACTCACATGTGGTCATTAGGCTTCACACGTGAGATAATCTGGTTGTGATACCATGAAAAAATAAAAGTTCAACCATAAAACCAATTGGTAACTGCTTATAAACACATTCAAAGTCCTCCTTTCTCTGATATAGGGGATCCAAACTCTACCGTGCAATTGAATTGACTTTAGGCATATCAATATTGGGCTTTTTAATCAAAATGGTCCCTGAGATTTGCATAATTTCTCACTTTGGTCCCTGAGATTTGAAATCAATAGAAGTAGTCCCTGAGTATCAATCATTTTGGTCATTCCATGAAAAATCTCCATTAAATAAGGCTAAAATGATAAAAATACCCTCAATTTTTGTCAATTCATTTGGCCAATTGTTTATTAAATTGATGGTATTTTCGTCATTGTGGTCCTTATTTAATATAAATTTTCATTGAATGACCAAAATAATTTGTAGTGGATAAACTCAAGGACCACTTCTATTGATTTCAAATCTTAAGGACCAAAGTTATGTGTTATGCAAATCTCAAGGATCATTTTGGCTAAAAAACCTTAATAGTTTGATATAAAGTCATTGCTTTACCATACCATGGTTTGTAATAAATTGTAAGTGATGAATAATGATGGAAGCTTGCACAAACATGCACATAGTACTCTTTTAATCATCACCTTATGCACACTAAATAATATATTTATGTATTTGTGTATGTATCATTGTATGCTTAATAATCGACTTCAATGATCGACTCCGATCCTAACTTTTCTTCCTTTCCAATGTATATTCTCCTTTATTCATTTTCAGCTATATTTAATTTGTCTGGTAGAAGCTGAAGTGTCCATCTCACGTTTTCTTTAATTGCAGATTTTGATCACTTCTCCAACGCAAATCTTAGCACAGAAAAATCCGAAAAAGTTATCTTTGTAATACATAGAGAACATAGTAGGTATTCTTGAAAAGAAAACACAAAAGTCACTTTAGTCTGCTGAAGAAAATTAATTAGGTAACTATACATGCAGACATACGAAGAAGAACTAAAATATTTAATTATTTTTTACATATATATACCCAGTTTCTACTATGATGAACTAACTAATCCGCTGAACAAATTAACTACTGTTTACTACTCAATAAACTCGTCTATACATATCATTATTATTAGTATCTATTTTTCCATCTCTATTAAAACAAATGGTACAAATAGATGGTAAGTACATCACTACTCTATTTATATCTGATTAAAGTTTCTCTAAAGTATATGAAGTTTCCTACTTCTCAAACTATATGCACAGAGCTACTTGAGTGAGAGATTGTCGGCCTTATAGATACTGAGGAAGGAAAAAATGGTAAAAAAAAAGAAGGGAAGAAAATGACTCTAAATTATAGAGTGGGTGAAAGATTGCGATGTATGGTTGCATGATTGAAGAAACGTCTCTCTCAAGCAGTAAAGAGCCGCCTCCTCTGTCTTGAATCGATGCTTTCATTCCATTCTTATCATGCAATTGCATACAACTATTTTGGATCATAATCATCATAATATATACTAGCAGAGAGCACATACTTTGTGTGTGTGAACAATTTTTTTTAATAAGTGCATATTTTTTCTTAAAATTACATAATTACTATTTTGTCATAGGAAAAATATGTATATGATTGTCATTTTCTAAAAAAATGAGGGTAAAATAGGAAAAATAGGGATATGATTGTCATTTTGTCAGAAGGTACAAAATTAAAGCCTCTTCAATCGCCCGTCTCCACTCACGTACTCATCAAGCGCAATCGCTTCAGTTCATTCAAACTATCCAAAAAACATCATGATTTCATTTACGCGTATGAAAAAATGATGATGGGACAATTTCTCTTAATAAGTGCATATTTTGTATCTTATGTAAATATTTTGATACAAAATTACTATTTTGCCCTCCTTATGTAAATATTGTGTATCAAAAGTGAGGGCAAAATAGAAAAAAAAAGGGAAAAGGTTCAAAAGATACAAAATTACTATTTTCCCCTCCTCATATCAACATTGTGGATTGAAAGTAAAGGCAAAATAGAAAAAAAATGAGCAAAAAGTTGACAAGGCCTCTTCTCTTAATAGAATAGAAGAATAGATATATAAATATAAAATATATTAATATCAATATTCACGGCTACAACTTTTTTATTTTTTGGTTTAACAGCTGAAATTCTGAAGGGCCAATGCCACAGCCCCCCTTGTAGACGCGTGCATGCATGATTATTTGATATGGACTTGTTTGATTTAGACAAACTAATTTTTAAGCACTTTCTCCTTCAATCTTCATATTTGATCCAACCTGTAATTAATTAATGTCTATTGATCTTGATCAATCAGCAAAGTTTTCATAAGGGCTTTTGATTTAAGCAATTTTGTTTGGGTTTCTTCTATACGTAGGAACACTATTGTACTCATAAGCGCTTTTGTTAAATCTGAAATTATTATTATTATTATTTAAAAAAAAAAAGTGATTTTCAAAGCATTTGAAAGTGCATATGAAGAGAGCGCTAAAGTGCTTTTAAATAATCTACAAGCTCTTTTAAGTTTTTCTTCTAAATATATTGCCAAAAGTGCTTTGATCATTTTATAATTCGTGCCAAACAAGCTCGATCTGAGTATTAGTTTTAAAATTCTTACAACGTTCATTGCCAAAAATTCTTATTAAAATTTGGTGCCACATTTATAGATTCTGATAGAATAACTTGGCTCCACAAAAATTATGAAGGAAATTTACCTTAAATTACTACGTAGCCGAATCATGGAACATCGTATATATGACCAAAAATGTTTATACTATAAATAGTTATGTAAAAATGTTCATCTGTGTAAAAAATCATAAAATATAAGATCTTTAGTCATTAAATTGTTTCAAAGCAGATGGTTAGAATCGATAAAAGTATTACGAACAATATATTTTTAATTAATTTTTTGTAGAGACGACATTCACAGAATAATTAATAATATGAAGTAATTTAAAGTACAATTTCTTCACAATTTTGTGGAACCAAACACTTATTCTTCTTTGTGAGAAAATTCATTTTTGGAAGTGTTATGTGAGAAGTAATTGTGAAAAAAGTAGTCCTGCGTTTGGTAAACTAAATTTTGAATCTGCTGCGAATACAATCAACAGCTTTTTAGTGTTTGGTGAGTTTTGCGAATGTGTATAATAAACAGGCATAATGTTGCAAACTGTTTGTTTCGGAAAACGAAACTAAATTTCACTACACATATACATAACTTAGCATTTAAAATCGTACTTTAATTTAAAAAAAACCCTAAAATTATTTTTTTGTTGGGACACTCTAAAATTATTTTGAGAATAAAAAGAAGAAGAAAGAAAGAGAAAAACTAAAAGCATCTCAAAAGGAGACGTAAAAAAGTTCACATCATCTAACGGTAAAAAAATACAACACTAGTGCTTTCTAACTGAAATGTCAATTCGTATGTAGCATGACATTAGATGACAACAGAGAAAGTTGCTGTCAAATTTGACAGCAGCTTCAAATCTATTTTTAGTGGTAATAAATGCTTTTTATAATTTTTTGTTTTAAAAATACTAATTAAAATTATGAGAAGTAAGCAATACAATTAATAATAGTTTAAATTTGACATATGAGATGGAGAACAAAATTTACAAAACGATCAATGTACCATATAAATCTTCAACTCGGGCTAGATAGGAGACCGCGTGAGAGAAACGGAGGGTACCATCGCCATGTAGAAAATTTCAGTAAAGGCCTCAATGCCTTTTGGAAATATGATTTTTTTTTTATATTTTTTTGGAAATATGATTTGTACAGAAGCACAAGTGAAAGCAGCGAAAATGTTGCTTTTCAACTCAAGGGTTAATTCAACTTCCTCCCACCACAGTTTAACCAAACACCATATGCATTCAATTTTTTTTTTTTGAAAAAGCAGCAGCAGCTCCTGAACGGGGCAGTTACCATTTTCCAACAAAATCAAGCACCCATAATTCGTCCAATAAAAACAAGAATAAATTGTAGCAAAAATCCTTGATTTATACCACGCTTTTAACTTTCGTCCCTGAACTCTACTAATAGTTTCTTCCATTCTTGAATTACGTCATTTGTTGTACTAGTATGCATTTGCATTAACTTCAACTTATCCGTTAAGTTGAGGATAAAATAAAATTTTCATCTAAAAAATAAGAAAATAAATTTTTAAAGAAAAAGACTTGTCCCTCAAGGATTGAGGAGGAACTCCTCCTTAAAATACATCGTGACCTATTCACATAACTTCTTACTTATGATTAGAAGTGCTTAAGGGTTGACTAAACAACTTTAGTTTTAATTGATTTTTTTTGCAGAGATAATCTTTGCATAGTAATTTATAATATAAACGCTTCCAAGCATAAGTACGAAATTTTGTAAATAGGCCACAAAGTATTTTGAGGAGGAACTCCTCCTTAACTCTAAGGAGTCGAGCTCTTTTCTTTTTAAAATAAGTGAGATTTTTTGTATGAAAAATCACTATACCTTAAATTTGATGGAAAAGAAGATTATCCGGAGAAACTAATATGTGAGTTCATGAACGAAAACTAAACATAGGGTAAAGTTCAGAGACATTGGCTACCAAGCACAAAGAAAAAGAATCTGTCAAAATATTACAGGCCCATATAAACTTGGGCCTAAGTTTTAACATTTAACAAGATGTGACGGGCTATGATTTAAACTGAATTATCTTTTAATTGGTCCAAAAGCCCAATGATCAATCCCAGACTAGACAACGTCACAACGTTGTCCCTACGCATTAGCCACGTGGCACATAAGCGTCTAAATACGGATACGGTGGTCGCGATCTCACCTGAACAACCTTGTCTCTGTTTCTTCAGTTTTACTCGTTAACGCAAAAACCTTCCTCCCTACTAACGAGTCACGACTGAGTCACGACTGAGTCACGAGTCAAACGAGTTGCGACTGCCTTGACGACCCCCCGAGAGAGTTGAGAGGAGGACCCATTTCACGCAGATCGCAGGAAGCTTTTACGCTCTCGAATTCGAGCTATTCCGACGCCAAACCACGCCGTTTGGGTAATCTCCCCCATTTCTTCCATGGAAGCTGCTCCATTGGTCAGTCTCTAAGCCGCAGCTGTTGCAAGATCCGAATTTGGTTTCATAATAATGGCTGCGTGGCTCAAAGCTGCTGAAGGTTCGGATCCTCGATTTATTTGTCTATTAATTTGTTGCTTTAGTTAATTAATTTGGTTTGCATTTTGGATTTTGGATTTGAAATGTGTTTTAGGGTTGATCTTATGCTTAATTAGTAACTGTAATTTTTTGAGGTGTTTTATGGATAATATGGTAGCGATAATCGGGTTACGTTGGATTTGCATGTTTGATGATCCTGATGTCATTGGCATTGGTTATTTCCTTACTGAATTGTGTTTTGGAGTTCGTATTACAATCAAAAATTTAGTTTGGACACGCTAGAAACCGAAAAACTGTGAGGTAGGATTCCGCATTTCATGAATTGTCCGGAAATGACATGAAAGTGAGCTAGAGAAATTTGGTTGGTTATTCGTTTTAGTGTGTGGGCGATAGATAGCTGCAGGTTAGTGATGTATTATCGGTGGAGGAAATTGTTCTTCTTGGTATCAAACCGGCTACTGGTTAAGCAGTTAAAAGTAATAGGTTAAGCGCAAGAGTGAGTTTTTATCACAAAAGAAAAGAGGTTTTATCATAATCCCAGTTCTTGCACCTGCACCACCCATCTTATACCATATATGATTGTTTACTATATAGATCATCCCTGTAGAAGCTACCACATCAGAGTTCCCATCAGACTTCCTTGTATTACTGCGCCATCTCTTGTGACCTTGATCTGTAAAGTTTATAACTTTTTTCATTGGCCTCAGGTTTGTTTGAAGTTGTTGATCGAAGGGCAAAGCTGGTTGTCAGTGAGTTGGATGTTCAGTCGCCTTCCCAGTCACCAGGTATTATCTTCGAATTGTCCTGCTTTTTTTTTTATTTGTTTATTTATATATTTTTGTTTTGGTTTGGAGTTGGGATGCTGCCACCAGATGTTACCCACTAATGAGTTGGTGCCTTGATAATGGGTCCTAGAATATGCATCCGTTAGCTCTTACTTTATCAAGTTACTGTCTGTCTTTTAGATAACTTGAAAACCGCCAAAATTGTTGCCAATTTTAATTCTGGTTCCTTTTCTGAAGCTTCTAATGGGCAAGAATCTCAAGCTAATAAGAGGAAAAAGTCGAAGACCAAGGTATTGCCAGATTACTAATGAAAATACGGTGTAAATATTCCACACACGCATGGGCATTTATAAAGGTTTTGGTCTCACGCATTGGATATTTACAGGCTCAAAAGAGGCAGTCCATGAATGAATCTCAGAAAATAAGTGATTCTGCACGTGAACAGATCAGTACGTTGGCATCACAAGCAGATGTGACACCTGAAATAGACAGTGATGTTCATTTAAATGAAAATGACGGGACACCCTCTGCAGATCCGACAAGTCAAACCATCAATGACCAGCAACAAAATCTTGACAAAGATACCACAGTAAGCATTCCCTTAACAGAGACACGGGCATTTGAAGTCGATGAGAGTAATGTTGAACAAGCAGAAGCTTCAACAACTATTGCTGATAGGGAAGCTATTACATCAACTTCTAATGATAAGATTGTCAATGAGATTGCCTCAGATGGTCATGAAGAACGTCCTTTGCCGTCATCTGCCAAAGAAGTTGAGTTTGTGGATGAAAACCATCAGGTTGGATCAGTTGATGCTGGCCAAGATAACAAATCTAGAGCTCCTGATTTTCATCCAGAAATTGACCAAGGGAGATCAGAATCTACCACTGATTCCATCAGTAACAGCGAAACTCAATCGAAAGTCACTGATGGCAATGAAGAACTGGTTGTTGAGAAAACTAAGCAACTTGAGCATAAATCTGGCAGCTCTCCAGTGAAAGTACAGGAACAGGATCAAATTGAGGAGGTAAGTTATTTACTACAGGGTGAATATCTTGTGTACTTCATTCCTATTTTGCTTTGAATCTTGTTAACTTGCCATCTAGGCTATTATTGAATAGTTTCTTTAGTTGGTGTACAGGCTCAAGGATTGCTTAAAACCGCTGTATCCACTGGTCAGTCTAAAGAGGCAAGGCTAGCAAGGGTAAGCTGTACAATTTTCTGTTTTTCTTTATTGTTGGTGTAATATACAGCCCCAAGTCGTTGAAGTAGGAATGCGACTTTTCTTTCAGTCAGTCTCTTGGAAAAGGTCACCATTATCGAATGAGCCTGTTTCACATATACTTTAATAAGCCTTATGCCCCCATGGGAAATTTCTTATTGGTTATAAGTTTTCTGTTTGAGTTCTTTGTTAATCTTTTGGTTATGATTGATTATTAGGTTTGTGCTGGACTTTCGTCTCGACTTCAAGAATACAAATCTGAAAATGCACAGCTAGAAGAACTTCTCGTGTCAGAGGTGAGACACATCCTGTTTTATATTTCAGGGGTCAAGTGAAGTTCAACCTTTGTGGCATATGATCTATTGCTATTGGTATTACATGCTGACTGCTATTTTGATAGAGAGAGCTGAGCAAGTCATATGAGGCTCGCATAAAGCAACTACAAAAAGATTTGTCCACGTCCCAAAGTGAAGTGACAAGAATAGAGTCAAATATGGTTGAGGCCTTGGCGGCTAAGAATTCTGAAATTGAGGCCCTTGCCAGTTCCATGGATGGAATTAAGAAACAGGCTGCCTTATCTGAAGGGAATCTGGCTTCACTGCAGGTTCATTACACTTACACATTTAATTATTGATGCATAAATTATATCTCTCTCTCTCTCTCTCTCTCTCTCTAAGGACTGGTTTGCGTGAAGTACCTATATCAACTTTTTTCATTACTCTATTCGTGCAATTATGATTGTTCCCAACTTGGATTTTTGACCAGTTGAGGCTTTAATAATAGTTTGATTATTATTATTTTCCAAACAGGCAAACATGGAGTCTATGATGAGAAATAGGGAGCTGACAGAGACAAGGATGATGCAGGTTCGAGTTCATGATTTTTCTTCTCTGCATGTATTTGGACCCTTAGCATACACTTGCATATGGTGTTTTTATGAAATTTTCTTCAGGCTCTTCGAGAGGAGTTGTCTTCTGTAGAACGTAGAGCAGACGAGGAGCGTTCCGCACATAATGCTACCAAAATGGTGTGTATCTACAACAATAGTATTATCAATTTATCAGTAATTTCTGTATCTTTGGGTATTTCCTTACACTCACTCCGATAATCACTTTCTGGGAAAACAGGCTGCCATGGAAAGGGAAGTAGAACTGGAACACAGAGCCCTTGACGCATCCACAGCCCTTGCAAGGATCCAGGTAAATTGAGCACTTCTTAAGTTTGTGACTCTTTCCCTAAGTAATGCACCATTACTTGATAAAAAAATGTATATACCATTATTTCTTAATCAGCCTTTATTCTCTCATCCCTATAGAAACTTATGATTACTGACATTCTTAGTTTCCTTTATATGCATGAACCATATAATAGTGCTTGCAGATTATATTTTTATTTCTAATGAACATTTTACAAACTTTTGAAGATTTTGCAAATTTTGTTTCTTCCATGAGCTTTTGGCCAGGATTTGTATCTATTATTCCATGTTCTGTCTATGAAGATGTTGCATGTTCATGCTTTTCCTAATTATATGAACGTTGTAAATGCTTCTCTACCCAGAGAATAGCAGATGAGAGGACCGCAAAGGCATCAGAGCTTGAGCAGAAGTTGGCATTGCTTGAGGTAGAACATTATATATCATTTTCTATTTCTACTAATTCGTTTGTTCAATTTTTGGAATAAAATACTGGTTTAAGATTCTTGGATAATTAGCACTATATGCCTTCAGGTTGAATGTGCCAATTTAAATCAAGAGCTGCAAGATATGGAAGCTAAAGTTCGGCGTGGGCAAAAGAAGTCACCAGAAGAGGCAAATCAAGCAATTCAGGTATTCCTTGTGATATGATGGATATTTACTGCATTTTATTATAGTTTGAACTTCTAGTGTGATTTATTTTACTTGGTAGTATCATTTCATTGTCACATGGGCGCCCAGCCCAACCCAAATTAGTTGAGGATATTTAAATCTTCACCATGGTATTATAGTACTCACTTACAGTTGTGAATACTAAGGTGCAGGCATGGCAGGAAGAAGTGGACCGTGCACACCAAGGTCAGAGGGATGCAGAGGGCAAGCTTGCTTCTTTGGAGGTAAGTGTCCTTTGTTTATTGCCCAACAGTGTTATTATTATCAATTTGTAGCTTTGCGTTCTGAAATTTTTGCCTTGTCAAACAACCTTCTTGAAATGCTCAATTTCAGGCCGAAGTCCAAAAAATGAGAGTTGAGATGGCTTCCATGAAGAGGGATGCAGAGCATTACTCGCGCCAGGTGATATCTGCTTTCTCTCTTTTCGTATATCTTCATATGAATAGTTTTACTAGGTTATATTGAGCACTATGTTATTTATAGGCTATATTTTCCATTTTGCAGGAACACGTGGAGCTAGAGAAGCGCTATCGTGAACTCACTGATCTACTGGTAATGTCACTCAAGAACAGTTATTTACATGGTCCGGTATCGCATTTTTATGACACGTCTTATTCCATTTGTTTTCAGTACTACAAGCAAACACAATTAGAAACCATGGCTAGTGAAAAGGCCGCGGCAGAGTTTCACTTGGAAAAAGAAATGAAGCGTATCCAGGAAGCACAGGTCTGTTCCTAGGTGTTTTATGCTGCTTAATTGATAGTTTTATAATAGATTTTAGAGTCCAGTTACTTTTTCTTTTTTAATCTCATTTATTGCTTGCTCTATGCGAATTCACATTATGTACAGGTGGAGGCCGAAAGAAGTAGGGTTTCTCGCCGGGCATCAGCTTCCTGGGAAGAGGACGCTGAAATGAAGGCACTTGAGTACGTTGACTCTTTAAAAGGGCCTTGTGCATGATTTCCCTACATTCTTCTGGCATCTTGCTAAGTACTATGAAATATGTTATAATTGTTTTGCTTTGGATGGAACTTATTAAAATGTAATATCTGCAGGCCTCTTCCGTTGCATCACCGTCATATGGCTGGGGCAAGCATTCAGGTAAAGCTCTTTCTTACCTATCACAACTCTAGATCTCCGTTTCTTACTCTAAGTTTCACCTCATCTCATGCAGTTGCAGAAGGCAGCTAAACTATTAGATTCAGGAGCTGTCAGAGCCACAAGATTTCTCTGGCAGTATCCAACAGCCCGACTTATCTTGCTATTCTACCTGGTAAAATAGTTCAACATGCACTTTAAGAGTCTAAATATGCATACATATATGTGCATTGTGGAGTCAATTAAATCAGAAAGTAACGAGAATAAATCATATACAGGTATTTGTGCATCTCTTCTTGATGTATTTGCTGCATCGCCTTCAGGTACAGATACTACTTAATCGTTACAATTTGTATGAGAAGCCAACTTTCGGTCATGATACCAATTGTCTTATGCATCTCTCCTAAACGTGTATTCTATGCGCAGGCTCAAGCAGAAAAATTTTCGGCTAGAGAAGTTGCAGAGTCTATGGGACTTGGTAACACTAACTTACCATGATTCAGTAGCTTGCTCCACGCCAGAAGCTGCTCGGCCAAAATCTTCAAGTTTGACAGTCATAGAATGCGCCAAGCGTGATACATCCAATGATATAGTGTAGTAGGAAAGGATGAAAGCTTTGATTGTATCTTGCTTCTGCTCTGCAAAGCAAGATTCTCTTCCCTCATATTCTCATCTTCTTCCTTTCTCTCTTCTCACATTTTTTATTTTGTCTTTCTTTCTTTATACAAAATTAATATAAAATGTTGACGTGATTTAACCGTGACCTGTTCAAATAAAAATAAAAAGGGAGAGAAGGGGAGGAAAAATAGAGGGGAAAGAATGTGGGAGGGAAGGAGAGGAAAACTAGGAGATAGAATCCTACTCAAAAAAACCGTTTTTAATTTTACTATTGTGTCAAGAAAGGACTCACTTTGGTGAACAACTTTGCTTTCTTTAACCCCCAAAATCAATAAGAAAAAAAAGAGTGGACTACTGTCAGTCAGTCCCTGCCTCCACCTTCAGTAAAAAAAAAATGTCAATAGTGCTAAGAAGGTTAAAATTTTAAATTAAATTTATAAACTATACAATGTGTTATGGCTCACTTTTATTAGGCTTTTATATTTACCTTTGCTTTTCTTTTATCATTTTTATTACAGGTTCTAAATTTTAAATTGTTAATTTTTATATTATACAAAGGTGCAATGTGATGGGTTTTTCTAGGCTCCATACGTGTGCTACATCAAGTCACTAACGGAACTTTTAACAAAATCAAAATGTGAGGACGGAATTGATGACTCACCCAATAAATAAAAGATGAAATTGATGAGTTTGAAACATAAAAAACTAAATTGGTATCCCGTTAAAGGCTTAAAAGCATAAAGATCATTAGTGATGAAATCTTTGTATGTTATTGGTGCTTGGAAAGTCTTTCCTAGTCAAAATCCTATCGGAGAATCTTAAAAGGTACTTGGAAAGTATCTCCTAGTGTGTGACTAGCAAAAGCTAGAAGAGAAAAGAGAAATATGAGCTGTTTAATATAAGAACAATTTATATGAAATGGGTTTTTCACTATATGGTATCTTAATTTATTAAAATTATAATAGTTTTAAAAACTTATACATATTATTGTTTTATTGAAACATAACTCTATAGTGACGGTGAACTCGCATTTATTGAACGGGTGATTTAGGCTTTTGAACATCAAAGCTAAAAAAGCCAACATGAAAAGAAAGAGTTGAAAATGGAAGATAAACTTTGTGACGAAGGTATTGTAAACAGTAAAGCCACAATCTTGTAAAGGAAGCCATCAGTGCTCATTGGCTTTTCGTGAAAAGCATTTCCTTACCCAGCAACAATATGTTCTTATTAGATTCTTGCCAAGGGGCGTTCTTGATTGTTATAATACATTTAGCTATTCTACAAACACTTGGGCTTTATTAGAAGCTGCTTTTTCATAAATACTTATTTAGCTATTTTAGAAACCCTTTAGCTTTATTTGAAAGTGCTTTTTCATAAATGCTTATTCTCAAAGACTATGGTTTGAAATGATTACGCCGCAATTGGAATTATTGTTCTATAAAACTCTTGCACTCGTAATCACTTTTATTAAAAACATGTTGAAATGTTTATTAAGAATTCAAGTGTTTCATTAAAAAATATTTGATAAACATTTCTTAAAAAAAAAAAAAAAAAAAAAAAAAAAACACTTTTATGATCCAAAAGAAGTTTAAGTATTTCTTGAGAAAGTATTTATAAGACACATAATATAAACAAAAACAACTTTAGTTGTCAAAAAACAGAGTGAGATTTTGTTCCCTCCTATTCTCATCCCTTTCCCTTATCTCTTCTCACATTTTTTTTATTTTGTCTTTCTTTCTCTATAAAAAATTAATATAAAATGTTGACATGGCATAACTGTGACCGTTCAAATAAAAGGGAAAAGAAGGGGAGGAAAAATAGGAGGGGAAAGAATGTGGGAGGGAAGGAGAAGAAAAATATGAGGAGATAATCCTACTAAAAAAACGGTTTTAATTTTACAAATGTGTCATGAAAGGACTCACTTTTGTGATCAACTTTGCTTTTTTTAACCCCCAAAATCAAAAAGAAAAAAAGAAAGTGGACTACTGTCAGTCAATCAGTCCTTGACTCCGCCTTCATAAAAAAAAATGTTAAAAGTGCTAAGGAGGCTAGATTTTTAAATTAAATTTATAAAATATATAATGTGTTGTGGCTTTCTTTTATTAGGCTTTTATATTTAGCTTTGCTTTTTCTCTATCATTTTGATTACAGGTTCTAAATTTTAAACTGTTAATTTTTATATTATACATGGGTGCAATGTGATGGGCTTTTCTAGGCTCTATATGTGTGCTACATCAAGCCACTAACGAAACTTTTAACATAATAAAACTGTGAGGACAGAATTGATGACTCACCCAATAAATAAAAGATGAAATTGATGAGTTTGAAACATAAAAAACTAAACTGGCATCTTGTTAAAGGCTTAAAAGCATAAAGATCATTAGTGATAAAATCTTTATATGTTAAAAGTCTTTCCTAGTCAAAATCCTGTCGGAGAATCTTAAAATATACTTGGAAAGTATCTCCTAGTGTGTGATTAGCAAAAGCTATAAGAGAAAAGAGAAATATGAGTTGTCTAATATAAGAACAACTTATATGAAACGGGTTTTTCAAGTATCTTAATTTCTAAAACTTTTATAGTTTTAAAAAAACGTATATATATATGATTGTTTTATTGAAACGTAACTCTATAGTGGTGGTGAATTCACATTTATTGAACGGGTGATTTAGGCTTTTGAACATCAAAGATAAAAAAGCCAGCATGAAAAGAAAGAGTTGAAAATGGAAGATAAACTTGGTGACGAAGGTAATCTTGTCAAGTAAGCCATCAGTGCTAATTGGCTTTTCGTGAAAAGCATTTTCTTAGTCCGCAACAATATTTTCTTATTAAATTATTGCCAAGGGGCGTTCTTGATTGTTATATCACATTTAGCTATTCTACAAACTCTTGGGCTTTATTTGAAACTACTTTTTCATAAATACTTATTTAGCTAGATGCACTTTAGCTTTCTTTGAACGTGCTTTCATAAATGCTTATTCTCAAAGACTATGGTTAGAAATGATTATGCCGCAATTGGAATTTTTTTCTATGAAACTCTTGCACCCGTAATCACTTTTATTAAAAACTTGTAAATGTTTATTAAGAATTCAAGTGTTTTATTAAAAAATATTTGATAAACATTTCTTAAAAAAACACTATTATGATCCAAAAGAAGTTAAGTATTTCTTGATAAGGTATTTATAAGACACATAATATGAACAGAAACAACTTTAGTTGTCAAAAAACAGAGTGAGATTCTCTTCTCTCCTATTCTCATCCCCTTCCCTTCTCTTTTCTCATATTTTTTATTTATTTTGTCTTTCTTTCTCTATACAAAATTAATATAAAATGTTGACGTAGTTTAACCGTGACCGTTCAAATAAAAGGGGAGAGAAGGGGAGGAAAAATAAGAGGGGAAAGAATGTGGGAGGGAAGGAGAGGAAAAATATGAGGAAATAGAAACTTACTCAAAAAACCATTTTTAATTTTACAATTGTGTCATGAAAGGACTCACTTTTGTGAACAACTTTGCTTTCTTTAACCCCCAAAGTCAAAAAGAAAAAAAGAAAGTGGATTAATGTCAGTCAGTCAGTCCTTGCCTCCCCCTTCATAAAAAAAAATGTCAATAGTGCTAAGGAGGTTATATTTTTAAATTAAATTTATAAATTATATAATGTGTTATGGCTCACTTTTATTAGGCTTTTATATTTAGCTTTGCTTTTCCTCTATCATTTTGATTACGGGTTCTAAATTTTAAACTATTAATTTTTATATTATACATGGGTGCAATGTGATGGGCTTTTCTAGGCTCCATACATGTGCTACATCAAGCAACTAACGAAACTTTTAACATAATCAAACTGTGAGGACAAAATTGATGACTCACCCAATAAATAAGAGATGAAATTGATGAGTTTGAAACATAAAAAACTAAATCGGCATCCCGTTAAAGGCTTAAAAGCATAAGGATCATTAGTGATAAAATCTTTATATGTTATTGATGCTTGAAAAATCTTTCCTCGTCAAAATCCTATTGGAGAATCTTAAAAGGTACTTGGAAAGTATATCCTAGTGTGTGATTAGCAAAAGCTAGAAGAGAAAAGAGAAATATGAGCTGTCTAATATAAGAACAACTTATATGAAACGAGTTTTTTACTATATAATATCTTAATTTACTAAAATTATAATAGTTTTAAAAAACTTATATATATGATTATTTTATTGAAACGTAATTTTGTAGTGGCGGTGAACTCACATTTATTGAATGGATGATTTTAGGCTTTTGAACATCAAAACTAAAAAAGCCAACATGAAAAGAAAAAGTTGAAAATGGAAGATAAACTTGGTGACGGAGGTATTGTAAATAGTAAAGCCACAATCTTGTCAAGGAAGCCATCAGTGCTCATTGGCTTTTCGTGAAAAGCATTTTCTTACTGTCACATCCCGGCTCGGGGCGGATCACTTCCCAAGCCGCTCCACCACCGTAGCACGATATTGTCCGTTTTGGACTTACCATTCCCTCACAGTTTTGTTTTTTGGGAACTCACGAGCAACTTCCCAGTGGGTCACCCATCATGGGATTGCTCTCTCCCAAACTTGCTTAACTTCGGAGTTCTGTTGGGATCCGGTGCAGGTGGTGGCAGAAAGTCTGCTGGGGCCTCGTGCTAGGTAGGGATGAGAATATACATTTAAGGATCACTCCCCTGGGTGATGTGGGATGTTACACTCCATCCCCCTTAGGGGCCCGACGTCCTCATCGGCACACCACGACCAGGGTTAGGCTCTGATACCAAATTGTCACATCTCGGCCCAGGGTGGATCACTTTCCGGGCCCGCTCCACCACCGTAGCATGATATTGTCCGTTTTGGGCTTACCATTCCCTCACGGTTTTATTTTTTGGGAACTCACAAGCAACTTCCCAGTGGGTCACCCATCATGGGATTGCTCTCGCCCAAACTCGCTTAACTTCGAAGTTCTATTGGGATCCGATGCAGGTGGTGGCAAGAAAGTCTGCTGGGGCCTCGTGCTAGGTAGGGATGAGAATATACATTTAAGGATCACTCCCCTGGACGATGTGGGATGTTACACTTACCCATAAACAATATTTTCTTATTAAATTATTGCCAATGGGCATTCTTGATTGTTGTAACACATTTAGCTATTCTACAAACACTTGGGCTTTATTAGAAGCGGTTTTTTCATAAATACTTATTTAGCTATTTGAGAAACACCTTAGCTTTATTTGAAAGTGCTATTTCATAAATGCTTATTCTCAAAGACTATGGTTAGAAATGATTACGCTGCAATTGGAATTGCTTTTCTATAAAACACTTGCACTTGTAATCACTTTTATTAAAAACATGTTGAAATGTTTATTAAGAATTCAAGTGTTTTATTAAAAAATATTTGATAAACATTTTTTCAAAAAACACTTTTATGATCCAAAAGAAGTTTAAGCATTTCTTGAGAAGGTATTTACAAGACACATAATATAAATAGAAACAACTTTAGTTGTCAAAAACAGAGCGAGATTCTCTTCCCTCATATTCTCATCCAATTCCCTTCTCTTTTCTCATGGTTTTTATTTTATCTTTCTTTATCTATACAAAATTAATATAAAATGTTGACGTGGCTTAATTGTAACTGTTTAAATAAAAGAGGAGAAAAGGAGAGGAAAAATAAGAGGGGAAAGAATGTGGGAGGGAAGGAGAGGAAAAATATGAGGACATAGAATCCTACTCAAAGAAACGTTTTTAATTTTACAATTGCGTCATGAAAGGACTCACTTTTGTCAACAACTTTGCTTTCTTTAACCCCCCCCCCCAAAAAAAAAAAAAGAAAAAAATAGAGAGAAAGTGGACTACTCTCAGTCAGTTAGTCCTTGCCTCTGCCTTCGTAAAAAAATGTCAATAGTGCTAAGGAGGCTAAAATTTTAAAATATATAATGTGTTACTAATAAGAAATAAACACGTTAATCAGTACTTAAATAATAAGTCAATCATCAACAACCACGTCATGTAATTTATAAAATTTGGCTTACAAAGTTGATCTTGCATTGCTCATAAAAAATTATATTAATAATAAGGTGATGTGCCAATTTAGTCTCTGAACTATCATCTCAGTGAAAATAAAGTCCCTAAATTATTTTTTCGGTAAAATAGTACTAGAATTCATTAAAAATTGCTAATTCCATCCCTACTATTATATTTGAAGTTATTTCATCCAATTTTTCATCAACTTAAGTTGCTTGACACACTTTAGAGTGTAATACCTTTTTTTTCTCGCCTATAAACCTTTAACATTTCATATAGGTTACGAATCTAATGTCTAATATAGCCTCCAAAGTTAACTATATACATTATTCTTTATGAAAAATTACTAATCTATCATCCAAAGTTAACTATAACGTGACTTAAATTGACATAAAATTTAATATAGTAACTTCGAATATAATAGTAACGATGTAATTAATAGATTGTTAGAATTCAAGGACTGATTTTTCTGAAAAAAAATAATTTAAGGACTTAATTTTCATTTAGATGATAATTCAGAAACTAAATTGGCAGTTCACATTTTTTAATATTGTCATGAAAAATGCGTAATTGGAAGTTTTGGATTTGAGATGAAAATCTAGAACCTTGAAGGAATTTTTTTTTTTTGTCTGTGGCAGGAAACAAGAGGGTCACCGAAGGGGTTAAAAATCATTATCTTGGAGATGTTAGGGAGCGCCCACGTAAATTTAATATTCAGAGACGAACATAAGGAGTACGAAAACTAAATTATTTAAAGTATTTAAATATTCTTCGTTAAAAGGCAGGGATGATTGGAATTTCGGCCTTCGTGAAAAAGACCGAACTCAAATTCTTTGGTTTTGTTTTTGTCAAACAAATTGTTTGGTTGTTGAATCGATAATGGCTGCCAAGGAACCTTTCTTTATCCAAATCAATTGTCTCCCAATTCCCAAAACATATGTTATTCCATTCATAGAACTTATTAATTGTTCCCAAATCCCAAATATTATTTGGATTCTTTCAATTAACCAACAACGCGACAAAGATCAAAGTGTCTCCATCACCATAAATCCTTTATATGGGAATTAACTTGGCTGCTGAACATTCAGCAGCTATTTCTGCTTACACCAAATTCAGATGAACACGTGTTAAAATTTGGACACGTGTCAACCAGGAATTGAATATAAGCAGAGTGACTGCTAAAAATTCAACAGCCAAGTCTTGCTGGTTATGTATGTTAACAATTTATCAATTTATCATTTATCTGTCGGGATCCATATTAATATCGTTATTGCCATTTAATCTGTCAAAATTTTATTAGTGTGTTAATGTGGCACACGTATGAAATCCCCAAAGCCAATGACATGATTTCATATAAATTAATGACTGACCCAATAGATAGAAGAGTAAATTGATGAGCTTAAAATATGAATGATCATCATATGGATGACATGTTAAAACATAAAGAACCAATTGTTATAAAAATCTTGTATGTTATTGGTGCTTGAAAAGTATTTCCTAGTCAAAATTTTGTCGGGTGAAACTTTTGAACAAACAATATTATTTACATTAAGGGGAGGGAGTGAGTTTAACCTCACAATGTGCTAGCAATAATGTAGTTCAAACTCACATTTGGCGAGAACCGAACCTAAGATCTCTCACTTACAAGTGAAGAAGAATACCACTAGATCGCAATACTAAGTGGCTTATTGGGAGAAACTTAAAGTGTGATTACTATTGACGACGCCTTAGCTTTTACGTGAAAATTGTATTCTTATTCAAGAATGTTTTAGCTCACTGCCTTCTTACTCAGCATGCTTTGTTAGTTTTCTATTAACATTCAACTATTCTATAAAAGGATAGTACTTTGGTACTCACTAGTAAGTGCTCATTTTGATTTGTACAATCATCTTTTAACGCATCTTTTCTTGTTTTGAAAAAAAATGGACGTCTTATTAATTTTTGTTGGACTTTAAAAAACAAAGAATGTACGACAATTTTTATTAGGTTAAATCAGAAAGTGAGTACATAAGTATTATTCTTTTAGAAACACTTGTGACTTACTTGAGACTGCTTTTTCACAAATACTTATTCTCATAAACTATACTTAGAAATGATTACGCTTCAGTTGATTTGTTTTTTTTTTTTTAGAAGTCCTCGCACTTGTAATTACTTTCACTAGAAACATGTTGAAATGTTTATTAAGAATTTTCATGAAAATAAACATTGGACAAATGTTTATTTAAAAAACATTTTTATGACTAAAAAAAAATCTCAAGTGTTTCTTAAAAAGGTAATTACAAGACGCAAAATATAATATGAAACAATTTTGGTGCTCAATGTCTGAAAGTTCTTTTATAAAATTAATTTTGAATTGCATAAAGCACTTTAATGTGCTTTTCATATTTCATTTGAATTTATAGTTTAAAAAAAATTCATCAAAATTACTTGCAGAAATAAAATCATTTTCAAACGAACAACTTTGTTTTCTTCAATTCCAAAATAAAAAAGAAAAAAAAAAAAGAAAAAAATTGGTTTTGCCAGAGGACAGTGACCTACTGTCAGTGACGGTCAGAGTCCTTTCCTTACCTTTATAATTTCAAGTGGAAAGTATCTCCATTAAAATCTGGTCCGATTCCAACAGGATCCTCCTCCTCGTCCTCTTCCGTTTTTTTATTTACGAGGTTAGAGCATTTATAAAAATATGTCAAATTCAAAATATTACATTTAAATTTGATAGCTCTCTTAATAATTTAAAATATTATCAATATTTTATATGTTAAAATTTATTTATTCATTTATAATTTTTTTAAATAAAAACAATAAAAGTTAAGTTATTATTGGTTTAAACATAATAAAATAATATTTAAATATACTAGTATTTAAGGTAAGACAAGTGGAATGTCTTTAAAATAGTAAAAACCAAATTTAAAAACAGCTTCAAATTTGATATTTCTTTGTTTATGTCGGTTTAGCCTTGTTTTTCATGTCATCTTTGACATTTGATAGAAGTAAATGGTATGTCATCAGTTATATGTCTATGTGATATTTTTAACATCTCATTTGAAAATGATCTTAGCCTTCCAATGAGTTAGCAATAATATAATTCAAATTCATATTTGACAAAAATTAAACTTTCATTCACAAATAAAAAGAATATCAGTAACCCATAGCAAACACTTTGTCCTCAATTCAACGTCCACAAAATCAATCAAAAGCCCAAAGCACCATCAGTGCCGTAGTATTTGTTTGCTCCAATTATTAGTGACGAAATCTTCATCTCCCACCAAAAAGAAGCAAGCTTAACAAACTCAATGTATCACCACCATCATCAGAACAACTGCGAAGTCAGTAACACAGAGTTCGCGGATGTTGATTTCGATGACCCCATCTACTCAAATCCTATTCTTTCATCTCCCAACTTCCCCCAACACACCACCACCGCCAGCGCCAGTTGCGCTGGCCGACGCCGACCGCCCACAACCGCAACTGCACGTGCCGCTGCCGCCGAAGGTGCAGCAAAAACTGAACACCATATGCGAGGAGAAAGAGCAGCCGCAGCCGGACGCCGAGTTGAGAAGCAAGCTGGGTTTGCTGGGCGAGGAGAAGGCACTCGAACTCCTCGGTGAAATTTACAACACGAAAACAAAGATTAGAACCCTCAGTGGATACATCGTGTTCATGCTCCGCCAAGAAAAATACCGATGTACCCCTCATTCTCCTTCTCCTTCTCCTTCTCCTTCCCCTTCCCCTTCCCCTTCGAAGTCTGCCCCCGCTGCTTCTCGTCTTCTTCACAGCCCGTCTTCTGCTTCCTCCATCACTCCTGGTCGTCAAGGTCAGATTCTTTGGTTTAAACATAATAAAATAATATTTAAATATACTAACATTTAAGATAAGGCAAGTGAAATGTCTTTAAAAATAGTAAAAATCAAATTTGAAGACAGATTCAAATTAATATTTCTTTGTCTATGTCAGCTTAACAAATAATGATACGTTATTTGATACAGTTATATATCTATGTGATATTTTTAACATCTCCTTTAAAAATAGCCATAACCTTATAATAAATTAATAATAATATAATTCAAATTTGTTTTTAAGAAAAATTAAACTTTCATTCACAAATAAAAAATACCAGTAACCCATAGTTAACGGCACGTCAAAACTTTGTCCTCAATTCAACATCCACAAAATCAATCAAAAGCCCAAAGCAGCATTAGTGCCGTAGTATTTGCTTGCTCCAATTGTTAGTGACGAAATCTTCATCTCCCACCAAAAAGAAGCACGCTTGACAAACTCAACGTATCACCACCATCAGCAGAACAACTGCAAAGTCAGTAACACAGAGTTCGCGGATGTTGATTTCGATGACCCTATCTTCTCAAATCCCATTCTTTCATCTCTCAACTTCCCCCAACACACCACCACCGCCAGCGCCACAGTTGCGCTGGCCGACGCCGACTGCCCACAACCGCAACTGCACGTGCCGCTGCCGCCGAAGGTGCAGCAAAAACTGAACACCATATGCGAGGAGAAAGAGCAGCCGCAGCCGGACGCCGATTTGAGAAGGAAGCTGAGTTTGCTGGGCGAGGAGAAGGCACTCGAACTCCTCGGTGAAATTTACAACACTAAAACAAAGATCAGAACCCTCAGTGGATACATCGGGTTCATGCTCCGCCAAGAAAAATACCGATGTGCCCCTCATTCTCCTTCTCCTCCTCCTTCTCCTTCCCCTTTCCCTTCCCCTTCGAAGTCTGCCCCCGCTGCTTCTCGTCTTCTTCACAGCCCGTCTTCTGCTTCCTCCATCACTCCTGGTCGTCAAGGTCAGATTCTTACTTCGTGGGTTGTTTTGTTTTGATTAACTAGTGATGGGTTTTCTTTGCTGATTATTTTCGAAACCGATTTCTGATATTTTTGTCGAAGAATGCAAGAATCCCACGTCGGAAAATTGTCAGTTGATAAAAGGAATTACAATATATAAGAATGGCTTCTAATAACGCCTATGTCTTTGATGATACACCCTTCGTTTGTTATAGTAAATAAATGCAAGTTGGGACAATATTGTGATTAGCGGTTGATCGTTATAATTAGCAGTGGACCGTTATAATTAGTAGTGGACCGTTATGATTAGTCATTGATCGTTAGTCCGTCTCTTTGAAATATTGACACTTTCTCTGTGATTTGCAGGGAATACTAGTGGAGGACAGAGGGAACTGTATTCCTATTTCTCAACAACTCCATCCCAATCTGCTCGAACTTCTCTTTTCCAAGGCCCATCATCTGCTCCGCAGAGTACTTCTGGTCATCAAGGTCGGATTTTACTTCAATTTCTTTCATGGTTGTTTCATTTCTGATTGATCAACGTCGTTGCTCTTCTGTTAAATAAATAATTGTTTTTGAACCCATTTTTGGTTCTATACAGAGCACCTTGGGGACTGTGGAGGAGGGTTGAGGCCACTTTATTCCTCTTGTCCCTCGCATTCTCCTTCAGAAGTTGCCCGTACTTCTCTTTTTCAAGCCCCCTCTTCTGCTGCTCCTTCCACTTCTCTCACTCCGGTTCGACTTTCTCAAGGTCACACATTTTTCACTTTCTCTGTTTCGGGCTTTTCATTCATGGTGATCAACTGTTTTATTTATTTATTGATAACTGATAACTATAGATTTTTTAGCCGTTTTTGTTATTGCTGGCCCAAACAATAGAGAACCCACGTATCTGTTTGAGTCTTGAGTGTGTGTTGGTGCAGGTGAGGCTCTCACTAATCGGTCCGCGGACCAACCCGGAGACGATGGGCGGGCGCAATTAGAAGCTCTAGGCGAGCTTGAATTCAGGAAACAGTTTCTAATATTAAATTACGCCGGAGGGTATGCGAAAGCTAGACGCTGCCTTATTTGGTTCGACTTCTGCATTTCCTCTTTATTAAACCGTGTACTTCCTGCTTTTGTGCATCGTTGTTTGTGTACGTATTTTTTTTTTTAGAGAGAAGTTAGAAAATGTTCTAGCGCCAGAAACTATTAGGAGTTGGAAAGGTATGCCGATGCAGCAGTTTGAGAACACAGTTTGGGACGCTTTGGGTAGCAAATATACTCGAAAGGAAGACCGACAATGTGTGAGTATCACTCTCAAAGCTGGTTTATCTTTAAATTAGTGAATTACCATAATCTTTGCTGGTTCGTTTTCACTCTTGGCCTACTTGTTTTTCAAATTCCTGTAAAGAAAATTGGAATTTTAACTCTGCTCGCTGCCACTGGCATCCCAAAATTTTCACTGCCACTGCCACTGGCTTCTTTAGTACTGGCATCAGCCAACCTTACATCCATTATTTTTAGTATATATGCCTAATGCCCTAATGTCCCTTTCATGTTTTCGGTGGGATGTAGACTTTGGATTGGGATTCTCGACAAGCATACGTCTACCATTGTGAAGTCGCTGTGGATGGGAGCTACAAATTCAAGGTTTTTACTCCTACACCCAGTATATGTGTGATCGCCCACAATCATGTGTCTCCATGCTTGCACATGTATAATTGTATGTCCACAAGGAGAAAGTTGATAGGTTACTTAAAGAACCTGTAGTATAGGTTATCATAGTTTTAACATCCAATAATGAAATGTGGTACCAGTACACGATACCAATAATATACGCCTGTGGGTACTGAAGGAATCAGGTCTTCTGGTTAGGTCTTGTGGGAGCTTTCAAGTTCGAATCTTACCCATCTATAAGTAATTGAAAATTTTAACATTTTAGGTTGGATTTCATGTGTGGACATTTGGTAGCAAGTTATTTCTGCAATAAGGAGGAAACTTTCTTGTTATAACAGCTTAGAGTTCCGGTGATTTTGTTTCATTTCTTCAAGGATAAAGCTCCCACTGAAAATGGGTAATCAGCTGTTTGTAGTTCCTTTCTGGAAAATGCATTTTCTTTTTATTGCGTGTTTTGATTTAGCCAGCTTGGCAACATGGGAAACCTAGTATGTATACTATCAATAACCAATTTCCACTGGATCCTATTGATTCAATTTAATCTAATGGCAGTACTTCTATGTTTCCGTTGGCAATGTTGACCACTTACTTTGCTGACGCTGAATAAGTGATACACTGTTATTTTCTTCAGGGCCCCTATCAACGCACCACAAAAAGAACTCTCTTACAGAAAATTTTAGGAGATGACAGCATTTTAATGGTGAAATTTGCTGATGCGGTGAATGACAAAGATCCCAGGAAGAAAATGGGCCTTTATGTTGATTATAGCAAGGTCGCAAGAGAAGGGATTCTTGTTGGTTTGCGTCGATATTGTTTCTTTGGTATGCCTTTAATGCCTTCTTATGGTGAATTTTGAATTCACAATTTTGAAGATGTTTTTACTTCCTTAACCGCTTATTTCTTTCGTGCACTTTTCCTGATTGGGCTCATAAGTGTAGTTACCTTAAATACAATTGTAAGCTTATTACAACGCTTGAGTAAAAAAAAAAAACGGTTTGTTAGATCATCATAGTTGATTTACGTCCCATGGTTTAGACTTAGGATGAGAATGATCCCTTGGTTTAGACTTAGGATTTATGTCCAGAAACTGCTTTTTATGTTATTTAGACCCCTTCTTCCTGGTGAAGTTTTAATGCGTATTTCGACACTTGAACCTGCATTCGTTTTATTCAGTGTGTTGAGAATTCTAGTACAATTGATTGTTGTTTGTCTTTCTTAATATGGTAATGAATCAGTGTTCAAAGATGGTGGTAACAAAGAGAAGAAGAAATGCCCAACTTCATCACCTGTGAAGTGTTACTTTGTTCGTGTGGGCTCTAACGCCACAATTGACAGGGGTGGAGATTATATTATATCTAATAGAACAGCTCATAAAGCAAGATGCATTTTCATGCATCCACATACCGTGTCTAGTGTGAGCAACTATATGATTAGGTAGGTCATTGTTTATAACATAAGAAGTTTATTTTCAAATGTTGTATAGAAGCATTTTTCCTTCAGGTTCTAAACAATCATCTTTCTCGGTATTCAGGTTTTCACTCATTTTGTCGAAGACAGAGAGCTTGAAAGTAGAAAATTGGTCCCTTCTGAAGATTGACGACATTGATGATGATTATTGTCTGGTATGGTCCTCAAATCTTTTCCATGAAATCTTGCCATTCCTAATTATACTTATATGCCTGTTCCTTTTGTTTTCTGTAGGATGAATATGGTAATCGTATCTATAGAGATGGAAAGCCTCTTATACATTCAGATGGAACTGGATTCATATCTGAGGATCTGGCTTTACTTTGTCCTAAGGATTTACTGAAAAAAGAAGAGTTCACCAGTGAATACTTTGAGGTTTGTGACTCAGTTTTGCGTCAGTTTTAAGTTTTGAGATTTTGAATCAAGTTCACGCAATATATTCTCATTTCCTTTGTGCTTTTGCTTTCCCCCTGCTTCCCCCCTGTAGCCTTTGCTCATGCAGTTCCGACTTTTCTACAAGGGCCGTGCTGTGAAGGGAACCTTTCTGGTCAATAAAAAGGTATGATTTCTTTCATTTCTTATGGAATGCCCTCGTCAGTACTGAAGTAAATTGAAATAATACAACCCCAATAACAGGTTCATGCATGATAATAATGAAATTTTTAGAGAATAGTTCTGTTAACAGTGTTTTCTTCCTTCTCTTATTTCTAACATTGTATACTATGTAAATCTTCTATGTCCAACGTTGTAGCTGCCACCGAAAACAATCCAGATTCGACCATCAATGATTAAGGTTGAGACAGATCGACAGATGTTGGATGATAAACAAGTGAATTCGTTGGAGATAGTTGGAGTCAGGTACATCCATTATCAAGCATGTATGTTTGCATACTTTGTATTGCTTAATTTGCCTTTTCCACCTACAGTTGAGAATTTCAGATACAAGGCTAATCTTACATGTGCTTGGCTATTTTTAATGTTTGTTATTGAAGATGTAGTTTTTAAGTTGACGTTTTCATCTTGCAGTAAGAAACCTAGGAATACAAAATTTTCGAGGAATTTAATTGCCCTTCTATGCCATGGAGGGGTGCCGAAAGAGTATTTCATGGAGTTACTTATGAAAGATCTGGAAAATACTCGTGGTGTGTTCTGCAATAAGCATGCAGCAGCCAAAGGTAGGAACCTGATATTTCTTTCTTTTCAATCCATTTGGGGTCAAATTGATTGCCAAATTCTTGTTTTGATACATGCCCATGGGTCAAATAACATTCTATCAAATTCATTTTTCTTTCACTATTTCTAGTTCCTTGACAGGTTTCCTTCCTTCCTCTTCTGTATTTGCAGTTGCCCTTAACTACGGCGGGATGGACGATGATTACCTATCATTTAAGATGATCTCTTCTGGTATTCCTCTAGAAGAATCATATTTGCAACATCGTCTATCATTCCTGAAGAAAGAGGAAAACAACAGTCTCAAAAAAGGGAAAATTTCTAGTCCTCAGAGTTATATGTTGATGGGGACAACTGATCCAACGGGGATGTTGGAAAAAGATGAAGTTTGCGTTCTCCTGTATGTACAATTTCTGGCGTTTTTTATCTTCTCCTATTACACAAAATCCAATAAATAATTTCTGGAATTTTTTCTGTAGTTCCTTGCTTTAATAGTGGCGCTAATGTATATTATGTTTCAATGGATTATGAACTAAAATTTCCATGTACAACTGTTTTTAGTATATGTTATAATGTGGTACGATTTGGATTTGATTTCTTGTACCATTTGTACCCAAGGTGTTACTCTGCATTTCTTTCTTGATCCAAGCAGATTTTAGTGTCAACAGATATGGTTCACTTATGGTTTGAGGGGCTCTTTTTCGGCTCAATGATATTTGCAGTGACAGCGGGCCAATTCAAGGAGAGGTGCTAATGTACCGGCATCCAGGTTTACATTTTGGTGACGTTCATGTTTTGAAGGCCACCTACGTGGCGGAGTTGAAAGAATTTGTTGGCAATAGTGGCTTTGCTATATTCTTCTCTCGCAAAGGTTCACGTTCCATAGCTGATGAAATAGCTGGTGGAGATTTTGATGGCGATCTCTATTGGGTCTCAAGAAACCCTCGGGTTGGCATTTACCTAAAGCATGATTACTTTGTCATTATTTTGAAACTTCAAAACACGCACAGCACACACCATCTAGAACTAGTTAACCAATTTATGCATGGGATGGAAATAATTTTGTTAACCACTAATTCTTGGAATTATTTCAGCTTTTAGAATGTTTCAAACAAAGTAAACCTTGGATCGATACTTCATCAACTCCCAAGGCTGCCACCACCTCACCACCAGAACCAAGTGCGCTTTTGCCCGATCATATAGAGGATGCGCTCTTTAAACAATTCTTGACAGCTAGGTTTGAACCGAGGTATGTTGACTCTGTATCTACACCCATTGTTGTAGTTACTATTTTCTCAATTCGTTTATTGCTCTTAGCATAAGTAGAACCTTTGGATATTGTTTTGAATGCTTTAAGGAAGAATTTTCCTTATCAAAGTTTAGTAAGTGTTGACTGTTACAAAGTATCACGTAATTGTTGAACCTCAATTTAATTTGGTTTCCATTCTGCTTAATATGATATTGGATGGTAGATCTCTCTCTGTTTGTTGAAACTGAGATGGTACTCTCTGGCTACAGTTCAGACTTATTTGTATTAAATTTGTTTACAAATTGATCATGTCGTCCACTGCAAGTTTTATGTTTCTGGTGCTCAAAATTATTTCTGCTTTTTTTTTCAGTTTTGCTGTGGGTGCAGCTTCTGAGTACTGGTTGGCCTATATGGATGAATATCTGACTCTGGGGGATGGTCATGAAAGAAGACTTAAGGGGGAAAAAATGCTGCGGTTAGTTGATTTATACTATGATGCTTTGGATGCACCGAAAAAAGATCGAACGGTTAGTTCTGTTTTTTCATGCTTCAGTCATGTTATTGGATGATATCCATAGGGCTTTATTATTATCTTTCTCTCCTGGTATGTAATACAAATGGAACTTTTTGTCTGTCTTCGATTACCCTTTGATTCGTTTGTGTATGGTGCAAGAACATTCTCACCCTCTTGCTGTTTTAAGTTCATACATTGGAATGGGAATTCAGTAGCTAGTTTTTGGTTATTTACTGATTGTATGATCCTTGATCTCCGATGATTTGAAGCTTGGATTTAACTTCTGAGTAACAGGTCAAAATCCCCAATGATTTGAAACCAGAGTCGTTTCCTCATTACATGGGTAAGCCAAACTCATACAGATCGACTTCCATTTTGGGGTCAATTTATGACGCAGTGGAGGAATATCAACCGGAAGACACTTCAGACAAAGGTGATAAATGTATTTTTAATAGCTAGTCATATTATATACGTTGCTATCCATAGAAACACAAGAGTTTTGACTTTGCTCTTCTGTCGATATACATTTATTCAGTAGCGGAAAAGCTTCCTTGTTTTGATGTTGAAGACCTCCCCAAGGAGTGCTTGAAGAAGTGGGACGAACTCTACAAGAAGTACAGGAGTGAAATGAACTGTGTCTTGCAAAACGATGATAAAGAGGGCAAGAATAAGGCTGCCGATAAGATCATAGGAAGGTATAAAGAGGTGAGATTAATGAACCACCATTTCGGGACTTGTTATATGATCAGGTGCCTGTTCTGCTCTCAACTGTTTTTTTCTCAAATATTTTTGTAGATTCTGTATGGTTGTGAGGACTTTGAGAAGAGCACAAAGCCCTTGGATGAAATATTTAACGAGGCACTCGCTATATATCGTTTCGCATATGACTACGCTTGGAAAGTTAACGATGTAGGAAGATGCGGGTTTGCTTGGAAAGTTGCAGGTTCAGCTCTCTGTAAGTATTACAAGACCATAAACGAGGACCGCACTTTTGAAGTCTCGTTCTCTGTTCTCAGGGACATCCTCTAATGAAAGGGGTACGGGGGCTCAAGATCCTCGGATGAATATTCATCCGAGGCACCCGCTCACTATGTATCGTCTGTGTATAACTAACTCACTCGTGAGCGCAGGTTAGGTTCTCTGTAAAGTCTCATTGGCTGTTTTAAAGGGCAGATTATTTAATGTAGGTGTTGAATGATGTCCTTAGTTTGTATTAACTATTAATGTAATGTAACATTATTCACGAGTACATATAAAAACGACTGACTTTTCTGTAGATTATTCTATCGTTTGTCGTAGGAAAAGAGCAACTTTACCAAATGCAGATTTGTAAAGATGTAGGTTTGATTTCCTAAGAGTGACTGTCTCATGTCCAGATTATCATCCAAATCGTTTTTTATCCTTGTATGATTTCTTTGGGGGTCAAGAGTTCGTGGTATGAATTCCTCTCTGAGCAACCATCATAATATATAACATGTTTATTAGTAACACTATATGATGATGTTTTGAATTAACAATACCGACTAAACTGGATTGGAGATCAAAATTGTGAGAAAAGAAAAGAAAAAAAGGGTTCTTATGTGTGTGAACAAAATTTATGGTGCTCCGAATAAGAATCCTTTAACTGCTACATCTTTGTTATTGTTGTAAATGGAAGTGTGAATATTTATGGTAATAGACAACCAAATATGACTTTACAATGTTGTTAGAAGAAAAAAGTTCTGGTAAGATTGTTAAGTTGAAAAACATGGTCAACCAAATAAGACTAAGAGAGAATGAAAAGATCTATATAACGTGGTATTTGTGTCATTGAAAAAACAACGGCCACATTAATAGTGAAGAACATACGGATGAAAAGAAAAAAAAGAGAAAAGGAAGAGAGCAAAGAAAGAAGAGATATGCATAAGTAAATACCTGTGAACCAAGCTAGAGAGAAGAAACAAAATAGTGAGAGTTATTTTGTACTCTCATTAGTTCAGAACATGAAAGAAAGTACTACTACCTCGATAACGTAAGCACACTTGCTAAACCTTGTAAATATTATGTCTTATTTATTTTATATTTCACTGCATATATATATTCAATTTCACAACAGTTATTATATTTTTTTGGATAATAAAAGGTGATCAAATTTTTTAAATAAAATTTGAGGTTTTTTGAAATGAGTCCAAAGTAATTAAAAATTGGATCTATTTCAAAAATCAAAAGTCACTAAAAATTGGAATCTATTTCAAAAATCAAAAGTCACTAAAAATTGGACCTATTTCAAAAGGTAGTCTATAAAATTGGACCTATTTCAAATTTTCCCATAAATTTTCCAAACCAAATGATGTGATTATTAAAATTTTAATATATCTAACATTACTCATATTTTTAACTAAATATCTTGTGATTAAATTTTTTTAAAATTTCGTAGTCCAAATCACTAAAAAGTTTCTGAATAAAAAAAAAGGCGCAAAAATCATTTTCAAAATTAAACATAGCGACAATAATGTTGATGTCTGGAAAAAATCTAACGGTGGACTACTGTGTCACTCTCACTCAAGTCAGTCAGACAGAATCTAGAGGAGATATATTTCCTTGTGTTAGGGAACGAACTGAACCACTAGTTTAGAGCAATTCTAGCGTGTAAGGGCTCCCATGACAATTAATAATTGAATTTCTTCTACTGAACAGTAACAATCTTTAATGAACAATAATTGCATATTTCATCTACACCCTTAAACTAAATACCCATGACAATAGATAATAAAATATTAGTATTATTTATTTTATAAAATAATAAAAAATAATTTTATTTGTAATTTCGAATAAAGATTTTTAACCAGTCTAGTACAATTTTTGGTGATTGATTTCGATAAATTTTTTATCCAATTCCGTCACGCCACATGGCATCACCTTTTTAGAATCGTTGATGATATATTTCCGATAAGATTTTTGACCAATCTCATCGTACCACGTGTCACAATCTATTTAGAATCTTTGATGATAGATTTCGATAAGATTTTTAATAAATCTCGTGCCATGCGACATTATCTACAACCTAATACTTTCTTTTTTCTCCATATAACCCATCATCCATCATAAGAAATCACACACCAAAACCAAAATCTCTCAAAATCTTTATCCTTATTTAGAGTTTCTCTTTTCGTCTTACAATGTCTTCTTCAAGAATGTTGTGGGAAATCGATGAGTAAGAGAAAGAATTGTTTAAGCAAGAAAAAGAAATGTTCAATCTCCAGGAGGGAGAAAATGAGATGGAAGAGGAAGATGATAAGAAGCGTAGAAGAAGAGATGACGAAGTAAGAAGTCAAAGAGTCTCCCATTCTCTTAGTTTAAATAAAGTACCAAATTAAATAAAGATGCTCTTAATTCAAATAAAGTAATAAATTAAATAAATATGAAATTACATAAAGTACTCAGTTTTAATAAATACGAAATTACATAAACTGCCAAATTAAATAAATACAAAATTACAACCTAAATTGATTAGAAAATTATAGGCTCCGATTATACAACTTCTTCCCTAGTCCTTGTGAATGGAAAATTATCAGCTAACCAAAGCCTTCTCGTTTGTAGTCAAATTATTCAATTAAATCAGAATGTAACGAGAATAAATCATATACAGGAATTTGTGCATCTCTTCTTGATGTATTTGCTGCATCGCCTTCAGGTACAGATACTACTTAATCGTTACAATTTGTATGAGAAGCCAACATTCGGTCAAGATACCAAATGTCTTATGCATCTCTCCTAAAGGTGTGTTCTATGCGCAGGCTCAAGCAGAAAATTTGTCGGCTAGAGAAGTTGCAGAGTCTATGGGACTTGGTAACACTAACTTACCATGATTCAGTAGCTCGCTCCACGCGAGAAGCTACTCGGCTAAAATCTTCAAGTTTGACAGTCATAGAATGCGTCAAGCGTGATACATCCAATGATATAGTGTAGTAGGAAAGGATGAAAGCTTTGATTGTAGGGTGAAGGTATAGTTGGTTTTATCTCCATTCTTTATCGGGGATGCGCGTGTGTGTAAAATGTTGATTATATATACGTTGTTCAAGTTAATAGGGCTCGATCCCAATAACGGGCGAGGCACTGCTTTGTTCATCTTCCAAACTTGCTTATGCTCTGCAAAGCGGGATTCTCTTCCCTCCTATTCTCATCTTCTTCCATTCTCTCTTCTCACATTTTTTATTTTGTCTTTCTTTCTCTATACAAAATTAATATAAAATGTTGACATAACTTAACCACGACCGTTCAGATAAAAAAGGAGAGAAAGGAAGGAAAAATAGGAGATAGAATCCTACTCAAAAAAAAACATTTTTAATTTTACAATTGTGTCATGAAAGGACTCACTCTGGTGAACAACTTTGCTTTCCTTAACCCCCAAAATTAAAAAGAAAAAAAAAAGAGCGGACTACTGTCAATCAGTCAGTCCTTGCCTCCGTCTTCTTATAAAAAAAATGTCAAAAGTGCTAAGGAGGCTAAATTTTTAAATTAAATTTATAAAATATATAATGTGTTATGACTCACTCTGGTGAACAACTTTGCTTTCTTTAACCACCAAAATTAAAAAGAAAAAAAAAAGAGTGGACTACAGTCAGTCAGTCAATCCTTACCTCTGCCTTCTTAAAAAAAATGTCAATAGGACTAAGAAGGCTAAAATTTTAAATTAAATTTATAAAATATATAATGTGTTATGGCTCACTTTTATTAGGCTTTTATATTTAGCTTTGCTTTTTTTTTTTATCATTTTTATTACAGGTTCTAAAATTTAAATTGTTAATTTTTATATTATACATGGGTGTAGTGGCGAAGCCAGAAATTTTCAAGGGGAGGGACGAAATTTAAAAGCGTAAACGGTTCAAAGAAATGTAGCTTACCTTTTAGATAGTACACAATATTAATATCGTTAATTATTTATCAATACAAACAAGTTACAATTGTTGCCATTGAGGTTTCATGCTACGAAAATGTCACATCTAGGCTCATGACCAATAAAAGAAAAAACATCTCTCTCAATTAAATCTTGAGGATGAAATTTAGCGAAACAAACTATTTTTTGTTGTTGGTCAAAAGATGCAAAATTATTCACGGGGCTCAAGCATGCCTTACAAAGAAGTAACTCGGTGTTTACCTCATTGAAGCGATTATTCAATTCTTTGAGTTGCATATGTAGGACCTGAAAATAGAGGTCCACAAGATAGTAATGAAAGTTTGCAAGTCTTGGAGCTTTATGCTTTGATTTTCTGGGTATAAAATGCAAATCCTCCATATTAGAAACACTAATATTATTTTTCTCACAAATTTTTATAACATGTTCTCAAAGTAATCATCTCTCAAGGATTGAAAAAAAATGATATAATTTTGGAAAAATAACAAGAATTAAAAAAAAACCAATAGTAAGCATCAACCTCTTGTTTTTCTTTAGTCCAAACAAATGAAAGAGAGGAAGGAGAATTAAAATGGTGGAAACAATAATCAATTAAAACCATAGTCCGGTTGGTAAAGAAGTCCACATCAATATAAAAATAAAAAATAAAAAAGAAATTAAAGGATCCCACCGCCAAACCGCATTGTTTCATTAAAAGAAACCAAGTTTTATGACTAATAACCAAAAACAGGCAAACGACGCTGTGTGGCTTGAAACAAAATTTGATCGTCTTCTTTCCTTGAAAGCATTAAAACCCAGCAGTGCGGCATAGCAATCCCAAATACCAGTGGGTTCAGAAGATCCGAGAAGCGGAATCCTCATTCTTAAAGGCGATTTCTAACGACCGTAGGGGTTGGATTTTCCAGCAAGGGGAGGGGCTGAACTTGTGCTCCAGTTGTGTTTTCTGGCAAGGGGAGTGGCGGCCGCTACTTCTCGCCCTCATGTGGCTTCGCCACTGCATGGGTGCAATGTGATGGGCTTTTTTTAAGTTCCATACGTGTGCTACATCAAGCCACTAACAAAATCAAACTATGATGATCGAATTGATGACTCACCCAATAAATAAAAGATGAAATTGATGAGTTTGAAACATAAAAAACTAAATTGGCATCCCGTTAAAGGCTTAAAAGCATAAAGATCATTAGTGATAAAATCGTTATAGGTTATGGGTGCTTGGAAAGTCTTTTCTAGTCAAAATCCTATTGAAGAATCTTAGAAGGTACTTTGAAAGTATCTCCTAGTGTGTGATTAGCAAAAGCTAGAAGAGAAAAAAGAAATATGAACTGTCTAATATAACAAGAATTTATATAAAACGGGTTTTTCACTATATGGTATCTTAATTTACTAAAATTATAATAGTTTTAAAAAACTTATACATATGATTGTTTTGTTGAAACGTAACTCTGTAATGGTGGTGAACTCGCATTTATTGAACGAGTGATTTAGGCTTTTGAACATCAAAGCTAAAACAG